TGAATGCTTCACTGCCTGAGGGAGTGGATCAGTCTCTTGGAAGGCACATTGTGTCCCAGGAGTCATGGACTCTAACCCGAAAAGCCTATGACACTTGCCTCTCAAGGCAGCTAGGCCAGGCCAACTCCATGGTTCTCTGCAGCACCTAGTTTCATACAAAGCATACTACTGGACCTTAGACACAAATTATCCCCAGATCAACAGATTATTTATTAGATTTTAGATTATTTCAATATCTCCAATAGACAGGTCATCTGGACAAAAAAACAACCAAAGAAACATCAGAATTAAATGGCATCATACATCAAATAGACTTAATAAGTTTCTACAGAATATTCCACCTGAACACCAAAGAATATATATTCTACTCAGCAGCCTATAGAAGTGTCTCTAAAATAAACTACATACTAGGACACAAAACAAATACAGCAAAATTGAAACGACTCTGTGTATTCTATATGACTGCAATGGAATAAAGCTTAAAATCAACAGCTAAGGAATGTCTAGTAATTAAATGTACTCACACAAATTAAATGACAGTTTATTAAATGATCAGTGGTTCAAATAAGAAATCAAGAAAAACACTTGAAATTCCTGAAATTAAATAAAAATGGAAACATAACACAGCAAAATCTCTAGGGCACACTGAAGGCAGTCCTTAGAGGAAAATGTATATCTCTAATTGCCTATTAAAAATTTAGAAAGATCCCCCAAAATAAGTGACTTAATATTGCAGTTCAGGAATTTGGAAAACCAAGAACAAACCAAACCCAAATTCAGTAGATAGGAAGAAATAATAAACAGCAAAATAGAAATTAATGGAATAGAAACAAAACGAACAAATCTAAGGGGTAGTTCTTTGAAAAGACAAACAATATTGACAGACCCTCAGCCCAATTCCCCAAAAGAAAAGAAAGAATCCAAGACACAGAGACAACAGGAAAAGATTACAGCAGACACCAAAGGAATTCAGAACACTATGAGGGTTCACATAGAGACTTAAACTCCACTAAATTATAAAATCTAAGAGATGAATGCATTTAATATTCATCTATACCGCCAAAGTTAAATCAAGGGAATTTAACTTGCAAGGGTATCAATGTAACTAGGAGGTTTCATGCTCACAACCTGATTATATCCCAAAGGCCATATCACACGAGGGACTCAAGTTCCAGTGTGAAAGGGGAGGGGCAATGACAAACAATTCCTAGAGCAGACTTCATAAGGGAGTAAACAAAGATAGAAATGCTTAGGGAAGTGAGCAAAGTAGTCGGTTATCAGTTCAATATACAGCAATAAATTGTGTTTCCATATATCAAAAAGAAATGTTAGTTACCTTTATTTGACTGGGATGTGCTACCACATCTGTTTATATTTTCCTTAGTATTCTTTTTTGTTGTTGTTGTTTTTAGGTTTTTCATACAATATATTTTGGTCATATTCTTTCCCTGCCTCCAATTCTTTTCAAAATTCTTCCTAACTATCCATCCAACTTCTTATTTTTTATCTTAAGGAAAACAAAACAAAATTAAAACAAATTAAAAGCACAATTTTAAAACATGACTAGTATTTAGAAAAATATCTAATGAAAGATGGAAAGCCTTCAAGGTAAAATTTTACAAAATTATTAAAAGATATATTAAATCATCCCAAACTTAAAATGGTAGCATTATCTTCATAGTTTAAAAGAAACAATTTTATAATGGTATTAATTATTGTAATTGATACATATTCTAATTTAATGAAAATGAGAATTCCATATAATATTTTAAGATTCAGTATAATCATAAAATTAAAGTGTTTTTCTCCTTGGAATTTGACAGCTATAAAGAAATAAAGGAGAAGAAAATAAAATTATTTTGAAGGATGAACTGGTTAAAGTTCCTCTATATACTATTTGGACTTACGGGATTGGAGAGATGGCTCAGTTGTTAAGAGCACTGGTTGCCTTGCAGAGCATGGGAGTTCAATTCCCAACATCCACATGGTATGTTACAGCCATCTATAACTCAGTTTCCTGGGGATCTGATGCCCTCTTCTGGCCTCTGAGGGCACTGCATGCACATGGTATACAGACATACAGGCAGGCAAACACCCATATGCATATTTTTAAAATATACTAGGACCTATAATAAAATCATAATAATTAGCTTTCCGTGGACAACTGCTGAGAACAGAGACCAGTGGTGGGAAACAGACTATGCAGAAAAAGCTCATTTACACTAACGTGTTCCTCACCAAATTAGTTCAACAGAACTGTAGGGGGAAATTACTAGAGGAACGGTGTGTGTGTGTGTGTGTGTGTGTGTGTGTGTGTGTGTGTGTGTGTGTGTGTGTGTGTGCTTTTCATAGAATAATATCCTGCCAAGATATACAACCAATACTTACATCCAAACTGTAGGTTCCTATAAATCAATTAAGAGAAAGTAGGAGAGTGGCCCAAAGCTCAGCTGCATGTAATGAAACAGAAATAAGCAGGCATCAAACATACTAAAAGTTCTTAACTCCATCAGCTAATCCTGCAGTTACGTGAGTGAAATGGAAAAGCCTGGGAAGAGAGACTGCAAAGCAAAGGACCACAAAACAAGCCCACATGCCAGTGGGAGCCTCTGTATACCGGAACTGGAGCCCGAGCCGCACACAAGCGATTAATAGCAACATCCAAGGAGGAAGCGGGTTCGAGGGCATTCACAAAATTAAACAGGGAGGAATGCAAATGACTACCAGCTGTGGAGTGAATAGAGACCTTGGTGTGCATTAAAATAATGTAAAACTACTTAATACAAATGAAGACGATGTGGCTATCTATAACTAAAGTGCATTATCCTATGATCCCCTGTTGAGTGGAAGATGCCAGGCAGAAAGGAGACACACTATGAGCAAACAAGGCTGCCGAGTTGAGGGATCTAAGCTTGGTGTATCAAGATTCTACTTAAATATGAGGAAGAGACTCCTAAGCCAAGGTGGCTTCCCTGGTGCAGTGGGTAGGTGTGACGATAAAGGGGGACATGGGGCTTCGAGGTGTTGACAGCATTGTGTATTTTTACCCTGGCAGTGTTTGTGCAGTTGTTTGTGTTATATAATGAACTGACATCGCATATATATTTTCCTTATTTTACACTAAAAACAAATACATGAAGAAATAGTAGAGATGAGATCTGGTGAAACAGGTGTGTGTCTGTGTCTGATAGACCTGGCTTGATGGGACAGCGTCAAAATAAGAGAGAAACAAATGGAGAGGTGCAGTCTCTCCTCGGTAGTTCTTGTGCTCTGGAGTCCAGGGGACTTGGAGTTGTTCCGGGTAGCAAAGGGACCTTTTGGGTAGGAAGCTTTTTGCCTGCAGCTCTGTTTTCTTCCTTCCCAAGCTCATAATTTTGGCAGAAGCTCTTACCATTTTCATGGCCTCATCAGGAATTTGCGGACTTGCTGACCCCTTGTCCCGAGGCCTCCTGCCCTTAGCTGCAATTATCATTGTGTCAAGTATTCCTTCAGGGAGTCTCAGCTGCCTGAGGCTCTTAGGTCATTAATCCTTCAGTCTATGTCACACATACATGGGTGTCCTCAGTCAGTGTTCCTCAGACAGGATCCCACCCAAGGCTGAGCTCTGCTGCTGCCTCTGGGCTATCATGTAAGATCTGCTTCCTCAGATCAGAGTGTGGTGGTATTGTGTTCCCCAAAATATTGTGTACCCTAATAAACTTATCTGGGGTCAGAGAACAGAAAAGCCATTAGATACTTAGGATAGGCAGTGGCAGCACACGCCTTTAATCCTAGCATTCTAGAGGCAGAAATCCATCAGTTCAAGGATACAGTCAAGCATGGTGACTCACGCCTTTAATCTCAGAAAGCCAGCCTTTAATCCCAGGGAGTAATGGTAGAAAGCAGAAAGGTATATAAGGCGTGAGGACCAGAAACTAGAAGCATTTGGCTGGTTAAGCATTTGGCTGGTTAAGCATTTGGCTGGTTAAGCTTTCAGGCTTTCAAGAAGCACAGTTCAGCTGAGAGCCATTTGGTATCAGGACACAGAGGCTTCCAGTCTGAGGAAACAAGATCAGCTGAGAAGTTGGCCAGGTGAGGTTAGCTGTGGCTTGTTGTGTCTCTCTGATCTTCCAGCGTTCACCCCAATACTTGGCTCCGGATTAGATTTTATTAATAAGAACTTTTAAGATTCATGCTACACCAGAGGTGACTCGAACCCTGATCTGAGGCCCTTGGTACACACACACACACACACACACACACACACACACACACACACACACACACAAAACATATCACCTCAACACACACCTTGCACTTTCTTGCCTCTGAAGACACCGTGAACCATAAACACGGTCCCCAAAGCCCAATCTTTGTTTTCTATGCTGAGTCCAAATTCAGGTGACATGTCAGGTCATCCAAGAACTCCTCCAGAAACACAGCAGCTCCCTTCTCCGAATGAGCTCCCTTGCTCTCACCTTCAAAGTCACAGACTTTACCCACACATGCTTTCTTGTCTCTCCCCATGCATGCATGTATGTGCAAGAATGTGTGTACATATGTGTTCATTGGCACTGGGACTGACCAGGGCCTCGTGCATGCTCGGCATGTGTGAGCTCTGTCACCGAGCAGTAGCCTCACCCTTTTCTGTACCCTCATCCACTAGATTTCAGCCTGTGGACAAGACAGGGCCCTTGTTACTGCAGTGTGTCTAGGATCCCACTGTGCCTGACACATACCTACCCACATAGGTCCGTTGAACAAACTGGCCCCTCTTGTCTGCATCGTGGAATGTCTCTAGAAAGATTAATATGCTCTATGGCCAACCTGTCACATTCCTCCTGAGGATGTTGGAAGCAGAGAAGGACACTGTAGGATGGGTTAACTGTGACAACAAGTGTCACCTACTGTGAGTAGAGAGGGGACACCATGTCTCACAGAATGACTGGAAAAGACCCAAAGAAGACCTGAACACTCTACATTTGTACTTTAATGTCTTTATTCTAAGGTAAATTGCATTTTCACCCTGGGCTAATACATGAAAGCTTTTTTTATATAGGCAGATGCACTGTGAGCTTCATGTGCAAGGAGCCATTGACGTGATTTTTTTCCCTTTAGTTCACAAACTCCCAGGGGCCAGACAGAAGCTTAAGCCTGCCAGACACAGTGAACAAAAACAGTCCTGCAACAGTAGGACACTGGAGAAAAAGAGGACAGTTGGTGCCACCTGGTCACCTCTGCCCTCTGCAGGCATGGAAACCAACAGGAATAAGCATGCACCACCACTCTTCAGAAGTGCAGGTGGCCCATCGCTGAAGATGAGGGCTCCACCAGGAGCCTAAGGCCTTGGGCAGGGTATCACTCCTTGACATTAGCCAGTGCTGCTTCTTACACGGTGGGAACAAAGGCTTAAGAGGTTTCTGGGGCCATGCCCATATCCCTGCAACACCTGCTCAGAGACAAAAGGAGACCAGGTATGAAGGCTAGCAGGGGGGAAATGAGATGTTTTATATTCTTTTTCATTAAGTGCTTGTTGCCATGTCTTAGCTACATTTCGCATCTAGTTTCAGTGGATAACGAAGGCACAGATCCCCAGGAGTTTGGGATGTGATGTCTAACAGAAGTGGCTGCCTGTGCCTCAAACAGCTGTGAGCCTCGTGCTCCGGAGGTGGCAGCACCAGCCTTGGTGCCGCAACATTTGGTCCAACTCAGCCAACAGAACTCATGACAGAAAGGCTGGCCACGGGATGCTCTGGAGTTGACATCTCAACTCCCAGTCTGACAGCCACAAAGTGAGGCGTGCACCTTCTGGGGCAGGTTCCTGTATCAATGAACCTTTAAGGAGTCCCTTCCACTATTTTCAGTTTCAGTATTCCAATGCAAGCCAACATGCCCACAAGCATTTCTGTCCATCATTTAAATATTTCAAGCATGAGCTCCAGTGCCTTAAATGGACTATGCTCAGGAATGCCATGTTCTCCTTCACTGAGCATCCTCAGAATGTAGGGTGTACACACCTTCACTGAACATGCTCAGAAATGGTTCGCCCACTATGAAGCTGTCTGAGTAAAATTCCCATGCTTTCTTTGGAGGAAGCCACTGCCTTCCAAATGATGCCCATGCTCTCCTCTCCTCAGACAGATCATGCATCTCTTTTTATGCCTTGTCTGTTTACTTTGGCTTTGCACTCATCGACATTAGAGCTCTTGGTGTTCAACTACAGTGTCTTCTAAACCATCAAAGTAGCCAGACACAGCAGGTATCAGCAATTCTGTTCTGCGCATTTGATGTGGGGGCTAACCTGGCTGTGGACCCTTCAGGACATAGAAAACCCTTCAGGTTGAATAATGAAGAGGATCCACATGGACAAGGAAAGAAAAACACTCTAGCAAATGGATAAATGAACACAGTGCTTAGTATTATCCAAGACCAAGGTCTGTTTCCTCTGCAGAGAACAGCAAGTTCATTTCAGCTTTTTTCCAGGGACTGAAGAGAGGCAGGTATAAAACCTGTCTCCTTCCATTCTGATACCCTAGGCAATATTAGCAAGGGCTTCTCAGGGGCCACTATGTGCAGTGATGAACTTGGCCTGGGTAGCTCTGCTGCTGTCCTGGGCATCAGGCTCTGGGAGCAGATGGTCAGAATTATGGCGAGGGCCAAAAGGCCTCCCTAGAAAGCCTGTGCTTTCCCCAGGAGCAAACTGCTCACCGCTCCTTGGTTGGTCCAGAGTGTGTTTCTGTGAGAGACAGACATTTGTGGGCTACATGAGGAGGATATATGTCAGAGGTCTAGTGATGGTCCGCCCTCCCACTCTCAGGGTAAGGATGTGCAGGTGGCCATGGGAGAGTGTGCTAGGTTTGTGGGCTGGCTGCTTTCCTCTCTTTTCTTAGGTAGGAGTTCAAAGTCACCAACCCAGTGTCCCAGGCAGTGCAGACGTCACTGTGGTACAACAAAAGTTCCCAAGCCTAATGGGAAGTATCTCTGTGCATACCAGAGACTAGCCCTCTCTCAGAGACTACCATCCATGCTGAAGCTCTAGGCCATCTGGCCTGTTCCTTGTAGGGCAATAGCACCCAACTTTCTCTTTTCTCAGGTTCTGGTTTCATTGAAGGGAACAGGGTCAAAGACCTGACTCAAGCCCACTCTGACCCCCTGAGCAAGCTGCTCAGCGTCTCTGCCTCTGTTTCCCCTGTGCAACTTACCTGGCAGTTATAATTTTACAGTGTGATGTATATGTCCCAAGAGAGCATGGCTTCCATTCCATACTGATGGAAGAGCATATGGCCACTCATTGTAATATTGTCTGGTTCCCCACAAACGTCTGGGGACAGAGGGTCAGAGTGTGGACATGCTGCCTGGCTCAACAGGTCCTCTTTCACTCTGCAGCAAGGCTGGCCATTATACTTTCCCCTGGGGGTTGTGAGAGGCTGGCCTCAACTACCTCCTGTTTCCCTTCTTTACACTTGGGCCAGTATTAGGTCAAGACCAGGCTTCACAAACTCACCTTCTACCACAGGCCGGCACTTAGTGGACTCAATGTCATCTTCAGCAGTGAGAGTCCCATAGAGTAGACCCCTGCATTTAGCATGGGTGGCCTGCTAACTCAAGGAGCCACTCTCTACCTGAGGGTGCCCAGTCCACACTGCAGACACCTCGTTCCTCAGGGCTCCACACAGCACCACTGGCCACAGTCCCAGTCCCACGTTTGTCAGTTTCCCTGTAGGCCTGATCCCAAAGATGGCATTGGACACAAAGTAAACCAGCGACTGCTGGCCTCGTGAGGGCTGCTGTGTCCAAGGCCTGGCAGGGCCTACTTATCTTTTCAAAGCAGCATCTCAGTGGTCCAGTCAGAGTGAGAGTCCAGGAATCCCTTGGGTTGGTAGGAAAAATCAGAAGAGCTTGTGGAAGCATGGGGCAGGAGGAGACTACCACAGGGGCCTGGACAAAGGAAGCCGAGAAGACAAAGACACAGATGGTAGCAGCTATCCGAGGCTGGCCCAGACAGAGAAAGAGGCATGGTCTCCACCTGGTCACGGGGCTTCCCTTCTCCTTTCCATCCACATCCTGCCTCTCCCTCTTCTGCCCATGACAGGAGCAGATTTCCAAGGCTGCCTCCTCTGAGTGCACCCTGACGCCAGGCACTGCTCTCCTCATGGCGGCCTATGCCCCGCCCCTTCCAACTCTCCTCTTCGGGGGGCTTTTGCCCTGCTCTTGCTTGTCCATGGCCTCTGCACCACCCAACACACTCATCCCTTTCCCTCTCCTCAGAAACTAGAATTTCCTCAGGACAGACTGTCCAACCTCCCCAACCAATTCATCCTCTCTCTTTCCTCTCCCCCCTCCCCCACTACTTCCCTTTCCCTCTCCTCTCCCCATCCCTTCCTCTACCCCTCCTCTTCTTATGCCCTCCCTGTTTGGACTTACATGATGTTTGTATTTCTGTCAGATGCTGGTCAGTGAGAAGGCTGTTGAGCCTGAAGGGATCAAGCTGGTGAAAACCTGAGCCTTGTAATGTCTCAGTTCTGTTTCCAGAGGTGACTGTTGGGCTCTGTGGGTGCCCAGTCCCAGAGGCACTTCAGGACCCAGGGGTGGGTGATGCTTCATCAGGTGGACACCATATGAACCATCTCTCGATGGCTCCAGCACATCGTACTGGGGCCACTGTGAGCTGAAACAGCCGGAACTGTCCGTTCAGGCCCAGCAGCTGGAGGAGTGATACAGGGGATTGTCCATAATTCCTGTTGGTATCTAATGGGTGTGTAGGCAGACAGCTTCCTGGAGTTCTGTCCTGGATCCTTCCTGTGCTCTCAATCCACACCAGGTCGATCATAGACCCACAGTTCAAGAACCATAGGACTGGACATGTTCCCTTGGAAGAAAATACATGGAAAGGACTCTGTTGGTGACTTTGACACAGACAGGATTTAACACAGGGCTGTTCTGCTGTGCCACAGTGCTCCACCTGACTCCTCCCTTTGCCAAACCCTCCTTCCTCCCTCCCTTCCACTCCTAGTCACACCCTCTGCTGTCCACCTCTGGCTCAACTTTCCCAGATTCTACATCAGAAACAACAGAGGGAGGCACCTTCTAAGGTGAAAGACATCATCATTCATATCCTATGATGGGTACAATCTGCAAAGAGCACATAAAAAGCAAATATAAAATCACATGAAGAGGTATCATGGTGGCCCCGCCTACTTGGCTTCCTGTGGACTCCACTGTCCTCGCCTTTCATTGTAGCCTCTTATCTTGCGGATGTAGTTCTTCTCTTTGGGTCGGGAGGCAACCGTATGATGTTCTAAGCACATGAACCTGTCTCCTCAAACCCTCCCCAACTGTGGCAGCTGAACTCAGAGGCTGTGGCACAACCTGGGGCTGGTCCCTGGTGAGACTTGGTACAGGATGCTTCTTGGAAAGACAAATCAATGTCACTTTCATCAGCCCCTGTGGTTCTTCATATCCTAGGGTGATGCCACGGGAGGATGGATCATCCAGTAGGTTGTCGTGCCAGTATTAATCTCCCCCAGACTGTTGTTTGTGATGTTGGTACCATGGTATTATCCTGCAGGCCTGGATCACAAAGTTCTCTTCTCCAGGCAGCTTCTTCAGTGTTACCCCCTTCCTTTCTCATCCTCCTCCTACAATGAGCTCTTTCCAGATGAGAGGAAAGTCAGAAAAGAAGGTTCGAGTCCCCTTTTCCCCAGGGAAAGAGGTGGAGAGGGCCTGCAGGGGTCACTTCCAAACAGGGCTGCACTGACTTCAATGCTGGTGACAAGTGTCTCAATAGCTCAGACAATGTTGCAATATACTGTATGTTGCTTCGCCTCACTAAACTTGCTGTTCCTTGCCGATGTCACAGTTTCCTGGAGGTTGTATCCCATGGTGCACAAGGCTTCCACAATGCTAGTGATTGGGATTCTAGGAGCTGTTTCTATGGAGGCTAGTGGTAAACCTTCTTCACAATAATATAGCCACAGATGCCCCTTGAGCTGGCCTATAGTCATCCTGTACTTGAGCAAGTATGCAAGGAGATGTTGCACACTTTTAGATAGGTTTGGTGGAATCTGGGAGTGTATGGCTGCGATCAGCCCATGCAGATCTGAAGGGGTTGATGCTTTATGTGGTATGCAACCAATGACCATATTATAAATCATTATGCCAAGCACCACATGTCAATGGGAAGTCCCTGGTAGCCTTCACCCTCCAGTCAGTGTCTTGTGGGCTAAAAAGGAAAGGTGGTCATGGGCCTCCTTTAGCTTTTGCTAAAGTCAGTGGCGACTTCTGTAACCAACCCAAAGTCACTGTTTGGCATTTCCTGTCCCACCCACTAGGATATTCTCCAGTTTTATTTCTGGGTGGGCAATGTGTCTTTCATGAACATAATTAATGCTGGCACCATCTGGTGGAAAATGAAGCATGCCTCCTCCTCCTCCTACGTATAGCCAATGCCTCTGTGACACTCTCAGGATCCTCCCTGACGCAAATTCCATGATCAAATAAGGCTTTGCTGGTGTGTCAATTAAGAAGAGTTTGATGATAGTTGGATGTTATGGAGATTCCATGAGGTCCACCTCAGTGGTGATGCTGGAGGCCTTGTTGATGCCCCTGTGCAAGATCTTCACAGCTACCTGCATGTCTGTGTGGATGCAGCAGACATGCTTTCTGCAAACGTGCCATAGGCAAAGATCATTGAGATCTTGTCATTATCTTGGAGGGTTTCCTTATCAGAGGGGCTGGCCTTGAGCTCCTCCTTCACTGCCAACATGCTAACTTGTGGAGAATGACATCACTGTCCAATGCTAGATCAAACAAACAAACAAATAAAGCAGATCCAGGAGAGGAGTTCATGGCTATAAATTTCTATATCATAAAAACCAAAGTTATCTTGAACAACCAAATGATGCATTTCAAGGTTATGGAAAAGTAAGAACAAACCAAACCCCAGAGCATAGTCAACAAAAAAGAACAGAGGTCAGAGCTAGAATTAATAAAGATGATCAAAGTTCATTACATGCATGTATGGAAATGTCACAATAAAATTCCTTTTCTTGTACAGTTAATATATACTTATGCAAGTTTTAGGATAAAAAAGAAAGCAAAGTAAAAAGATGACAAGCCTAAATAGTTTAGTGGTGGTTCGAATGAGTATGATGCCCATAGGCTCATACTTCAGCATTTAATCTCTAGTTGGTAGAACTATTTGGGAAGGACTAAGTAAGAGATGTCTCACTCAGGCTCTGAGGTTTCAAAATCCAGTCTTTCTCTCTACTTTGTGGTTGTGTTTCAAGATGTGAGCTCTCAGCTACTACTCCAGTGCCATGCCTGCCTGCCTGCTGCCATGCTCCCTGCCATGACAGTCATGGACTCTGACCCTCTGAAACTGTAAGCTCTTCTATAAGCTGCATATGTCATGGTGTTTTGTTACAGCAACAGAAAAGTAACTAAGACAGTTTAAAATAAAAGTGCAATAATTAATAAAGAAAAGTGAATATATAAGCATAATTCAAGCCCAAAGGCAAAACCAATAAGTAGATAAAAATTTAAAAAACCAAAACTGGCCAGGCAAGGTGGTGCATGTCTTTTATCCCAGCACTCTAGAAGCAGGACAAATGGATTGCTGGGAGTTCCAGGCCAGCCTGGTCTACATATCGAGTTTCAGGCTAGCCAGGAACTAGAGTCTCAAAAACAACAAGACAAATCAAAAAGACCATGTCAAAATCAATTAACTGGCAAACTTACTAAGTTGAGGTCCAACTGATCAGGAAAGGCCAAGTTTACCAGAACCAACATCCAAGTCCAACTTCTCTCCAACCAGACAACAGCTTCTCTGAGGTATAAGCACAAAACTCAGCTGGAGCCAGAGCCTCGCCTGAGCAGGCATCTATAAGTACTCATGATGGCTCCTTGTGAGGTCACAGAAGGATAGACTAAACATGGCAAGGGATAACCCACACGCCTTTCTTCTTTCTGTCCCCAGGTACCAGTCATTTTCTTGTGGCTGTTCACACCCTGACAAAAAATGACACAGAAAAGGAAGAGTTTACTTGGCTCAGGCTTTCAGAGGGCAGGGACAGTATGGTGGTGGGCTCAGCTGGTTACATTGTATCGGTAGTCTCCCAGGCCTCCCAGAAACCCAGTATTCCCAGCTAGGCCCCACATTCAAAGATTTTTGAGACAGGGTTTCTTGGCTGTCCTTGAACCAGCTCTGTAGACCAGGCTGGCTTTGAACTTACAGAGATCAGTCAGGTTCTGCCTCCCAAGTGCTGGGATTAAAGGCATGTGCCAATACCACCCGGCTTGTGCGGGTTTTAACAGCTGCGTTAAATTGCGGTGAATAGTAGAGGAAGCAACTGATTACAATAGAAGATGCATGCTTCCTACTCTTTGTCCTACCAAACAGCCTGTTACTGGAAAAGACTAAATGTCTATGTGCTGGCATGGTTGGTAATAGATACAATGCAGAATTACACACACGGGGGAGACTGAAGCCAGGACCCAGCAAGGACAAAAGCTGATTGTAGTGGGGAAGGCAGAGAAAACAAGGTCAAGATCAGAGGTATCAGAATGTCAAGTGTTCCCTGGTCCAGAGCAGGCTCCGGGGAAAGGCGAGCCTGGAGAGGAAGTAACCGGCACAGATTCCGCATGTGGGCGGGCTTATCCAACGGCGGCCGGCGGAAGCGAGCCAGCGGGGTCTAGGGCGCGGCGAGCAGGATGGCGCCACAGCTTGGCCCCCACGAGCTGGTGCATGTCTTCTCCTTCCTGGAGGCCCGCGACCTGCTGCGCGCGGGGCAGGTGAACAAGGTGAGGTCCGGATGGAGTCACCCCATCACCGCGCTCCGCGGGCCCGGGGCTGCCGGGGCATCCCCTCCAGGGATTGGCTTTGCCATGGGCTCCCGTGTCCTGTGGCCTCGGGTGGTGGCGTTGCCTTAGCACTTACCATGTGCCTTCTTGGCCGCGCCCTGCCCTGCTTGTCATCTGGCCGTGTGTTGCTTCTCATGGACTGAGTACAAAGCGACTAAATCACTATTAGTGTAAGGTACTTGTTTTTCCCTGCCAGATTCATTACTGAACTGTGGCAGAAAAGATGCTAAAATCTTTCTTCAGTGTCTATCCCAAGTGCCCAGTGCATGTCTTGAATTTTAGTCTCTTCATTAAGTAAATCAGTGTTGAGAAGGTTAGACACATCCTTGCTTGAACAAAGCTCTTAGACTTGCAGTTTCAAACCTGTTCAGTTTTAAAACTTTTACCCACAGAAAGATAACCAATACTATTCATTCCAATCTTGTCAATTTTGCCCAAACCTTCAAACTGCAAGTGTGCCCCACTCCTCAGACTTCATCAAAGGACCCAGAGATGACATCTGGCAGTGTCAGACCTCAAATGTGTAGATAGGCATCACCTAATTTTGATTTTGATTTTATAGTTCTGGGGAATGCACCTAGGGCCCTGAGCTAGCCGTGCACTTGTCTAACAGCTGAGGAACCTCCCTGTCTGCCACTGTTGGCTTTTAAAGCTGCTGTAGTTTGACGGTATCCCCAGCCACTTCCTCTCTTTGCTACACTGTAATACTGCTTAGGGCCTGCATCTTTTCCCTCTCTTATCTGTTGCCAAAACTCTGTGAGCCTGAGAACTTACCTCACATGCCACAGTTTGTAAATGTGTTGTCTTCTACACTTTGTCCTTGCCACACCCTGGAGAGAAAGCAGAGGCCATGACAGTCCACCTTCAGCAGCTGTTAACATCTTGGCTTATCAATTGTGTTGGCTAAAGTTTAAATTACTGTGCGTAGGAGATCTATAGACAAAAATGCCTCTAGCCTGTAAGCCCCACTTGCCCAAGGACAGATAACTTCCTAGAATGATGGGGGCTGTTGTTCACACAAGATAACAAGCCACATGTCTTCATTTCAGTAAACAAGGCTGGTTGCCCCAATTGTACATGATGTACTTGATCACATGTAAGTCAGAGGTACATAGGCAGGAAGTACATCAGGATGTATGCTTGCCCCTATTTAGATAAAGGCAGGAAGTGTGTAGCCTTGTGGGTTTTGCCTTTTTAATCCCCTGCCTAATGTAATCTGGTGCCATTCTCTGGGAATTCCAGGTATGGCCTGGCCAGTGTCCATCATTCTGGCCAGTATTTGATAAAGCTTGCTTCAGATTTGACTCAAAAATTGTGGTAGTGATCTTATTCTTGCCCGGTGGGATTAACAGTCATATAATGAATAAGTAAATGATCTCTTCCTCTGAACATGGGTTAGTTAATTGAACACATTACACACGAGGCTACTTTCACCTTTTTATTTTTTTTTAAAGGCATTTTTAAAAAGTCTTGTCTCCCATTTTTAGCCCACGCCTCATCTAACTTGCAGTCTCAGGTGCCACCGAAAACGATGCAGGCAGGGTGTACTGTAGACGCCAAGGCCTGCTGAGGACCTGGCAGTCTGTGAAATACCTGGGTAGCTTTGGTTTCCTATATGGAGCTGATGTGGCCCAGGGAAAAGGTGCCCAACTGCCAGTACAAGGTACAAGGTCTCTGGTGGGGAAGGAAGAACAGGGATCCTCACCTCTCCCAGGCACTTCTCAGCCCAGAGAGCACCTCATAGTTCCAAGTCTCTGAGGATAATTTTAAGTATATCTAGTAAATACTGAGTTTCACTCCCATGTTTACACATCAAGAAACTGAATATCACACAGTGACTTCTCTAAGGTGATGATGGAGTCATTGCAGGGCTTGAGTTGAGTCTCCAGCTGTTTTACATAGTAGGCTGGCACAGTTAGAGACAGAGTTTGAAAGAGAAGTTCCTTCTTCCCTTTGGTATTGTCAATTTTTCTTGGTTACGATCTACCCATAAGTAAAGTGAGGTCAGTAATCTCTATGACTCTAACAGAAGGATCCTTAAAGATGGCTAGTATTTATTCTATAGAGCATACCACACATTACATCTTCTATTTGAGAACTGAGAACCCAGTTGGCTTTGAATGGAAAGATGCTTAGATCTTTGCTTGGTTTGATTTTGCAAAATTACAACATCATTACTGGATAAAAAGACTTCTTTTTCTTTAATTTTTTTTTTTTTTTTGAGTTAGAGTCTTGTAGTTCAGGCTGACCTTGAACTAGCTATGCAGGGGAGGATGACCTTAAACCTCCCAGGTTGCTATGATTACAGTCATTCAACAGCACACTCAGGCATCCTAGGCATTCTGCAAATAGCTCTGCAGAGAGAAGTAAGAGCGGGGCTTGTGTAGTACCTGCCCTGGAAGACTGTTGCCATTGGACCATCTCGGCAACTCTTGAGATAGCCTCATCGCTGCACCCCACAGAAGCTGTCTGAAATCATTACCAGTCTTCACAGCAAGCAGAAAGGGCTTAATTATACACAGCTGGACCTCGCTACTCCCCTATTCAAAATATTCAGTATTTTTGCACAGAGACTTTTGGGAGTGGTAGAAGACACCCAGCCAGCTCCTTTTCCTGGTTCTTCTCCAACCAAAACCTTGTGCTCTAACTGAGGCAAATTACTAAACTATCCTTTTCATATTTATGAATCATGTGCATATCCAGTGTTTCCCTACATTGCTTTAGAACAACTATCCACTCTTTGATTAGTCATTGTGTCTCTGAGCCTCTGGGCCCTGACTCATCAATCCCATTGAGTCTCTTCTTTTTCATCATTTGGTGGTTTTTAATTATCTGTTGTTTTTAATGCACCAGGTTGAGCTGTGTTGAAAACAGAAACAGGGCTGGTTTTGTTTTTTGTGGTTTGGCAAGCTAGGTGCTTAATAGCATTGACTGACCAGATGCTGTCTTTTCCTGCCCTTATTCTAGGTCTGGAATGAGGTTTCAATGACCAAGGAACTGTGGAGGTGAGTGAAGGAAGAGCCAAGTGTGGCCCTGTAAAGGAGAGACATTCACTGGAAATGGTTTCCAAGTGCTATAATCACTTCTGTCTCTATTGAGGACAGAGAAAGGATTATATCCCTAGTCCTTTTACGTGAGGAGACCCCACTAAGACCATGATTGGCAGGACTGCCAGACTCAACCAGCTGGACTCATTCCCTGCAGTTTCTGTCAGTAGAATCAAATTACTTTAAATAAATAAATGATCCATTTTATAGCCAGGATGGCCCTTTGCTTACTTTGTAGCCTAGGCTAGCCTTGAGCTTGTAATCTTCCTGCCTAGCTCTCCTGAGTGCTGGATTTGCAAGCATGTGCCACCGTGCCCAATTCAGATTATTTTAAGGGTACAACAGCAGAAGAATGTAAGAGTGTATAAAACAGAAGTATTTACAACATTGAATTTGCTAAGTCCCTCTAATTTATTCCTCCTTTAGAACCTGTTATCTTTTATTTTATACTAAGATAAAACTAACAGCAGCAGGAGGGGAGAGGGGGAGGAGACTGGCCACTGAATGTAAGGCCCACACCTTGATGGGCAGGTAGGAGTTACATTTTTCACCCTAATGAGAACAACTGTTCAAATGTGAAGCTTCCTCAGAATTGGGAGGGAGGCTTTGCTTTTATTTAGGATAACTGTGACACCCTGGGATTCTTGGTTATGTCAGGGCTTGTAGTCAGAAGATTTCCGGTGTCCTGGCCTGCTGGCAGTCGGGACAAATCTCTCCCACTTGCATCTCCCAAGTAAACACACAGAGGCTTATATTAATTATAACTGTATGGCCATGGCTCAAGCTTTTCGCTAGCTAGCTCTTATATCTTAAATTGGCACACAACTATTCATCTATGTATCGCCACATGTTCCACGGCTTTACCTGCGTCCCATCATTACATGTTGCTCCTTGGGTGGCTCGATGGTGTCTCTCTCTGCCTTCTTCCTGTCTCTCTCTTTGTATTTCCCGCCTGCTTCTAAGCTGCCTTGCCATAGGCCAAATGGCTTTATTTGTCAACCAATCATAGCAACACATATTCGCAGCATACAGAAAGACATTCCCTCATCAAGGGCTATCTTAGCATATTCCATTTTCAGCATTATAGAACACTGTTCTGTTGCTTTTCATTAGCATTATAACTAATATTGACTAGAAAAATAATCTCAGTCAGTTTTGAAGTGGACTTTCATTAGAATCCATCCTTTTATCTACTCTTTGAAGAACTGAGTTTTTAGTAATTGTAGGTAATTTGGGGAAAGGGAGAATTTGCGAAGTCTGTGACTCAAAGAAATTGTCTGAATGATGAACTGTCTGGTGCAGCTGTTGATGTATCAAAATCCAAGTTATAAATTTAAGGCGGCCACTTAAAAAGTAACTAAAAATATGGTGGAAGAAATGACAAAGGAATTGAAACAGTGTATTTGACCACACTTAACAGAAAACATGACAGAAATGCAATAGTGTGGGGAGAAAGGCATAGGACAAGAAAGTATTAAAATGACAAAAATATGATTGCCCGACCTAACGAAAGGACAAAGATCAACAGAGCTGTCAGAGAAAAGTAGAGCCCAGCTCAATGCTGTGCACATGAGGTTCACTTAGTTTTCTTTGTTTTTGTTCCAAGATTTGGAGATCAAATCCAGTACCCATGGGCATGCTTGGCAGGCACTCTACAACTGACAACTACATCTCTGAGACACACTCTGGGTTAACAGACAGGGATAGGTTGACAGTAAGAAGAAGGTACACATGCAGACAGCATGAAAAAGCTCAGTGGCTAGTGACGTCAGCCAGAGCAGACTGAGATCAGACATGTAAGGAAGTATGTTATAGAATGACATAGGGGAGTCCTGGGAGAAGGTGTGGCCCTGGGTGTGCCCCCGGGTGTGCCCCCGGGTGTGCCCCTGGCAACAAGCACAAAACACAGGAAGGACAGACAGAACTGAAAGGGCAAATGGACAGTTGACACAAACAGTTGGAGACTTAAGAAGTGGGCTCCTGGATCCCAGTTGTTTACCCTCTGTGTCCTCACGTGTAGGATGGTGGTGAGTGCCTTCCCCAGAGGGCTGCCACAAAGGGCAGCTTGTCACATAAAAAGTGTAGCATGATTGACATGTCACCACTCACTTACCATTAGCCCTGACCCCATTCGACAGAGGAGAAAATTGAGGGCTAGATAGGGACCGTGAGTTATCCAGGGTTTCGAAGCCAGAAAGAGGTAAGGCCAGAATTCAAAGCTCCATCTCCTGGCTTCAGAAACCAGCCTGCTGTACCAGCCAATGCTCGCATCTGTGTTTCAGGCAGCTGTGTCTGAGACGCTGGGCCTCCTGCAAAGCCTTCCCCATGGTCGTGGGCACACAGACATGGAGGCAGTACTATTTCTGCCGGTCGGAGCTGGAGTTCCGTGTGGAATCTGGGCGGCCGCAGGACTTCGTCTGCAAATCTATTTCTGGGCACACAGGTATGAGCTGGAGAGTGTTGTAGCTGTGTCCACTCCCACTGCCCACCCTCTTGCTGGTCAAATCTCAGGGATCTTGGCATCTCAGCCAATGGCTTGGCAAGTGCCCCTGGATGAATGCGGGTCTTCCCGGGTGCTCTGTCATCTGTGCTGTGGCCTGGGAGGAAGGAATGAGTTGTTACCATCTTTTCAGAGTAGACTGAAATAGGACAAGCCAGGCCTCCAGTTATAACTGGGTTCTGCTCTCGGGAATGTTCACCCACCAGCTGCATGGGCATGAGCTACTCCCCATCCCTTTTGTGTACCCTAAGCAAGCACTCATTGTGTTCCTGATCCTGGAGAAGAGGGACAGTTGTGTGTCAGATTGGAGTCTGTCTATGTGTGTGCTCTCTTCCAGGAAAGATAGATCAGCTGGCCTACGTCACACCCCACGAGTACCGCTTTGACGAAAGGGCAAAGTCCGTGGTTTGCACCGTGTCTTCAGACTGTACCGTGCGTGCCTGGGACCTGCACGAGGTGAGCTGCTCCCTGGGGGGGGGGGGGGGGAAGCATCCCTACTGTGCCCTTGGTTTGATTATCTTAGTGCAGAGTAGGAGCCCCATTTTGCAGATGAGAAATCTGAGCTCTGCCATCAGCTGTCCCCAGTAGGACACACTGATAACCTTTGAAACTTGAGCGTGACCTATCTCACGTGGCACGTGCTTGGCTTCCTCTTGGAACCAGACTTTGCCTGTGATGGTGGGGGTTGTGCCTGGGATGACAGCTGTTTTGCCATTCCTCACATTTACTGCCAGCCACTTAGTCAGGAGGCTCCATGCTGCAGCTCATGCTGCCCAACCAGGCGGTTTTGCAAGATGACAGCTTTTGGTCATCCCCTTGTGTGCACACCAGCTGGACAGCTTGCCTAGAATTGGAAACTTTATTAGTGCTTATGCAGATGTAAAAACTGAAGGCTTTTATTTTTTTTGAGACAGGATCTCACTCTATATAGCCCAGGCTTACAGGCTGCTCCTTCTGCCTCATACACACACACACACACACACACACACACACACACACACACACACACACTAATGGATAAGTAAATAATTTAAAAAGAAGTTGAGGTTGGGCTTTCCATAGTTTGGGCTTTCCAAAAGAAAACAGAGTGCCTTGCTGTATGGGCCAGCAGTGTTTTCTTTAAACAACTAGACCGTAAATATTTTACCCTTCTTAGACCAGAATGTCTGTCATAACTAACTACTTAACTCTGCTGCTGAGACACAAAAGGAGCCATAGACAGTGTGTAAACAAGTAAGAGTAGCATACTCCAGTAATACATTATTTCATTAAATATTCTTCTCTTAAACCAAATACAAAAGTACTCAATGGCCCGTGTGGCTGCAGGTGGCCATGGTGTACCAGACCTTGAATTAGCACTCCATTGTTTCCAGTATGGGACACCTCAGACTGCCAGCAGCCCTTCCAGCCAACTGGCCAGGCTTCCCAACCTTAATACTGTTCATGAGCAGATCTTCAGCTGTAGTTTCTTCCTTAAAGATCAGCTGTTAACAGTGTCGCATTGAAACTTGCTTCCCAGGAGCACAGTATTTGTGGGTGCTTTTTGGAGACGATTGAGGGTGTGTGACCCACAGCTGGCTTTTTTGTGTGTTTTTGTGCCTTGAAAGCTGGGACTTGAGCTCAGTGGACAGCACTTGCCCGGCATATATGAGGCTGGGGTTCAATTCCTAGTATTAGAGCGGGGGTTAAAGTCATTTTCCTTTAAATAAACAACAACAACAACAAAAACCTAGTTGATTCAAATTAGCAGTCCCTATCCCTGTCTCTGATCCTTCAAATCAAGTGTTAACAATTTGGCCTTTTTCTTTGGCTTTTTGATACCAGGTTGAATTTTGCCCTGTAGCTCTTGCTGGTCTCGAACTTAGGGCAATCCCCATGCCCCTTCCTCCCTGTCACTGGGATTGCAGGCCCGAGATACCATGCCTGGTTTATTTTGCTTGCTTTCATCATTCACATCCTTCCACCTCCAGATACAGGAGTCCTTACGCATTTTTCGAAGGTCTGCTCTGTGTCTGTGAGGTCATGGAGGTCAGAAGAGGGTGTCAGATCCCCAAAAGCAGCCCAGGACCCCAGCTCAGCAAATGGCATCAGCTCAGTCAACCTAATCTAGAAACTCGCTCTCACACACCACCGAGGTTTGTTTCCTAGGTGATCCTAGGCCATTCACCGGTACATCACACCCTTTTCACCTGTGCTCCATGTGCGCTCTGGAGCTTGGTAGAGTAGGCCCTGGTGAACCTATGCTGACTGATGAAAATCATATGTATCTATGAAAGAGACGGTGCCCCTGTGTCGGTCAGTTATGTGAATTTTGTTGTTGCCAGGGCACAGAGGTCTGGTCCAGCCCTGTGCAGCCTGCTCCTCTGATGAGTTTGGTGGCCTATCCTCTGCTGCAGCTGGTGGTCACAGTGGACACACAGGGCCTGATCATCGGGTGGAAAGCGGAGACTGGGTCTCTGTGGGCCTCATTCTGCCTTCCAACCTTCTGTTCTTCCATGGAGGCCTGCGGCCACTCAGAGGGCCCCTTCCTGATGGTGAGTGACCTTGCTCTCAGGAGCCCTACAGGGCCTAACCACCTCTTGGTCTAAGCCACTATGGTGGGAGGAGTCTGGATCCCTCTTCAGAGCAGATCCTGCCTCTCTGGTTCCACCTTGTTCACCATGTGGAATACAGGCCCTCTGTCCTTCAGACTTGTGTGTGGCATCAGCCTCTCTCTGTAGCCTCCCCTGTGGTGATGGAACCTGCTGTGTGGAGTTCTTGTGGTTTGCAGCACGTGGCCTTACTTTCCTGTGTGCTGAGGTCTTTCTTCTACCTGTGCTTTTTCTTCATTCCTTCATCCTTTCCAGATGTTTATGTTCTTCATTCCTTCATCCTTTCCAGATGTTTATGAGGAACTTGGCTCCTGCTCGTCAAGGGTGGGGCTGCCTTTCACTGTGTACTTTAGTGCCTACACTGAGCTTCCTCACACTCCTAGTTCTCAGCTTGGCAGTGTCTGCCTTTCCTGTTGCCTCTACAGTGCTTTCGAGGGCTCTCACCCTGGGGTTGCAGCGGGCTAAATCCCTTGGGTTTCCTCTCTGCTCCCAGGACCCCAGGGCAGCACCATTTTAAATAGGCTTCCTCAAACCACAGTTCCTGGATAATGCCCGCTACATCACACCGTGACTTGATGGGAGTCTTTGCCAGTATTGACTTATCCACTGGGGAAATCACGAAGTCACCCAAACCTGCGGCTGGGTCTGAGGGTTGTGGACTTGTCTTGAGATGAGGACTGGCTTACTTTTTGATGAAGCTTTGGCCACACACACACACACACACACACACACACACACACACCCATGGTTGGAGCTGTTTGTCCTTCTGGTGTCAGCTCTTCTTCTTCCTCCATATTCTCAGCTTATGTCAGTACCTTTGTGAGTTTGGAATTGTGTCTTCCTGACTCTCATCCTTCACCAGGGCACATGCAGGTGGCCCAGTCTGGACAGGTAGGTACCTTACCCAGAAGGCTTAAAATATTTATTTTTCTACATGTGAGGGTGGGAATGTGCTCAGAACTAGTTTCCAGAGTTTGCTGGTCATTTTAATTTTGTGAAACATTTTAAATATGCTTACCCTTTGACCTAATAATTCTAATTCTAGGCATCCCCCAGATGTATGCCCGCATGTGTGTATGGGGGTCTAGGCAGGAGCACTCCGCGCAGCAGTGGTTGTAGTGACATTTGCACCCCTGGTAGATCTTCCCAAATTAGTGAACATTTTCTTTTGACTTTTAAAATTGCCATCAGTGTGAGAGGAAACATTTTAAATGTAAAAACACATAGGCAAGCTGCCTCTGTCCTTGCCTGGAAGAGCAGTGGAGGGTCACATGCCAAGCTCATGCAGGAGACACGGCTCTGCTCTGAAGACATTGCTGTGGCCTGTGCCCACCCTTCAGTGGGGGGAGGGGCGCAGCTCCTTCAGAAGATGGGGGTACCTCCCCCCATTGTTAGTTGCTCTCTGTTCCAGGTAGCCTGTGCTGAAGGGACCCTCTACACTCTGACAGTACCTCAGCTGCAAGTGGTCTCCAAAGTGGCCACATTTTCTCATACCTCTGTGAGCCTCACGTGCTCACCTGACCAACAGTGGGTGTTTGTGTTTGCACAAGGATCAGACTTAGGTCCAAAGGTCAGTGCCTGGGGAACCCTGTCCCTGGTAAACCTACTGCAGTGGGAGGTTGTTGTGGAATATTATTTTAAGATGTGTTACATTTGTTTATGCTGTAGAACATTTGTTTTATGATGCAAAGATGTGTTGCATTCTTTTATGTTGAATGTGTTTAACTCTGTGAAACTGTGTTACTTTACCGGTCTAAAACACCTGGTTGGTTTAATAAAGAGCTGAATGGCCAATAGCAAGGCAGGAGAAAGGATTGGCAGAGCTAGCAGGCAGAGAGAATAAATAGGAGGAGACATCTGGGAAGAAAGGAAATTGAGGAGTGAGAAAGGAAGGGGTCAGTCACCCAGCCACACAGCCAGACATGGAATAAGAAGGAAAGAAAATATATACAGAAATAGAGAAAGGCAAAAGCCTAGAGGCAAAAGGTAAATGGGATAGTTTAAGTTAAGAAAAGCTGGCAAGAAACAAGCCAAGCTAAGGCCGGGCATTCATAAGTAAGAATAAGCCTCATGTGATTTATTTTGAGAGCTGGCTGGTGGGCCCCCAAAAGAGTAAAAACAACAACAACAACAAGTGGTGGGTAGAGAGCCTGGATCCTGAGACTGCAAGACATAGGTTCTCAGGCCGTCACTACAGGGATAAGCCCTGCAAACAGGAGTATACCTCTCTCTTACTGGAAGCTCAGCCCTCTCAGTCTCTGCTCTTTCCTATCTGCTGTGCTATGATCTGGAAGGGCCAGTTCTCTGCTGGGGAGGGCAAAGTCAGTTCTGAACAAGTTTGGACATCTCCACCAGTATGCTCCTAAAGAGCTGTCTGGTGTTGCTGAGGATGGTGTGAAGACAATGGTGAGCAGTGAGGCCCAGTACAGGAGAAGAGAGCATACGACGTGTGTGTGTGTGGAGGGGAGTGGGAGGGGCGGTTTGCTCTGCCTCCTGCACTGTGGCCAGGAGGAATGCCCTGCAAGTCAGAGAGTCCTGACCATGACCTGGGTCATAGGCACAGAGATGCCCAGTCATTTGTCAGAGATGCAACCCTTGCTGAATGCCAGGACCTAAACGGGAAGTCAGACCACAGAAATAAGAGCTAGCGGGGCACCGCAAGAGATCTGGTAGCCAGGGAAGCAAGTCATTAGAGAATCGCAGTTGGGTATAGAGGACATGGGATGCCTAGAAAGGGGCCATAATAATGACTGGACCACCCTGTGAGGCCCAATATAGAGGATGTGGGTCTGTGGGCAGCCAGCTGTCGAAGACAGTCCTGCCAGAGGCTGGAGTCAGCTTGGGGCCGGAGGGCTTTGGGAGCTCTTGGGTCCCTCACCACTCTGTGATCATACAGGGGTGTTTCCCCAGGTGTTCTATACTCAGTCCTTGCTCTACCCATCCGAAGACGGGCTTCCTGTCTCCACCAGCCTCCCTGTCAGGCTGAGTTCCAGAGCCTGCTGGGCTCCTGAGGAGGCAGCCAGGCTGATGGTGATGCACAGAGATGTCAGAGGCATGCATCTGGTCATCACTACCTTCGATTTAAAGGCCAGCAAGTCCAGGGACAGAGTGAGCATCCTGGGTAAGGTCCCTGTGCTGGCCACAGCCTGCAGTTTGGTGCTTCAGGACAGGCTTCTCACAGTTCCTCTAGGACATTTTCCCTTCCCTGTCAGGGAAATAGAAGCAGAGTGTCCTAGAAGTTTTACTGTGTGATTTCACATACTGAGTGGTGGAGTGCTTATGACATGTTGGTCCCAGTGTGGTCCTGGGCTTCAGATGTAAATCCCATGTCCATGGTCCCCTCCTGTGTGGGTGGCAGCATCCCAGCATTTTGCTGCTGCTGAACTAGGATTTGAGGTCTGAATAGCTCACTCAGGAGCAGGAGCAGAGCTCTCCTAACTGCAAAGCCATGCACTTTTCCCTGCATTACATCATTGGGTGGGGCACATATCCATGCCTGAAAAGCAACCAGTGTATTTTTATTCTCCCAAGAACAACAGCTGGCTAGCTTCCCCCTGCCGGACACTATGACTCCTCACCTCATGCAGGGCCACGGCTCCCAAGTGATCCTGCTGGCCTCCAGGTCAGAGCTGGTGCTATTCACCATCCACGGCCTGCAGCTGATGGCCTTCCAGGACCACCAGAGGCCCATCACGTCAATGTGGGTGGTGAGTGGAGCATCTCCTGCCCGAGGCATGCTTTCCACTCTTGAGAATCCACAGCCCTACCTCATTTGACTTCATTTCAAGGATCCAACCTGTGTCATCACCTCTTCCTTGGACCTGTCCCTGCGTGTCTATGTGTGGAATAAGAAGAAGACATGTCCTGTCCTCAAGAGCTGCTGTCAGTTGCTTGGGGGATCTCACAGATGGGCCAGGTAACTGGCTGTTCCCCTGCCCTGTGTCTGGAAAGTGGTAAACCAATTGGTTTTCTTTCTTCTGGACCAAGTCTTGTCATGGTGCCCAGGCTGGCCTTGAACTTCCAGCATCAAGTGGTCCTCCCACCTCATTATCTTGAATAGCTGAAAACAGATGTGCATATCACATCTGCTCAAAGGAACGATTCTAAAGGAAATGTTGGAGAGAGTATGAGAAAGTCCAGCCTCGTTAGCTGGGTCTCGGGATGAGCCACTGTGAACATCCTGTTTCTTTTTCTGGTAGCAAACAAAAAGCCTGAAACCAGATTTTCAGTTCTCACTGTGCACTGTACATTGTCTCCTATATTGTATGAAACCGTTGGTATTACCCAACTGCCTATTACTTTATAAATGAAATCGCTGAAAGATTTAGAGGTTTTGTGCATAGTCCACAGAGAACATGTGTCCAAACCAGGGTTAGACCTTGAAAAGGCCTTGTGAAAAAAAGTCGGTCCTGGGAGCTCTTATGGGCACACTGCCTTTGACCACCAATGGGTTCATTGTAAATTCTGGTGTAGGCCATTTCCCCTCATGTTTCTCACCACGCTAGAATCATTGTGATGCAGGCAGCACCACCAGGAGGGACCTGACACAGTCTTCCCACTAAAGGATGTGATAGCATTTCCCTTCCATGCCCAGAGGAAACGGGTGGCAGTGGGCTGGATAGGGATGGATGTAAAGATGAGGCTGGGTTCCATCCTCAGGTAAAAGCTTTTCTACTTAAACATTTGCCTTTATCCCAAGGTTAACGCCTGGCATGTCCTTCTTCTCTGCAGTGGATTTACCCACGTGAAAAGTGACAGCATGAGCATCGCTGGGGTTGAAGCCAGAAGCAATGGAACAAGTATTCTGAGGTCATATTGCTACAAAGTCCAGCTTAGCTAGACTCTTGCTTTGTGTGTGTGCATGCAAACACCTTACCAAAGATGTTGTCAACTTGGGGAAACGAACTGGTAGGATGACTACTGCCTGATCACAGTGAGCCAGTGGAGTATATTCTATTGTCTTGTTTGTCTTGCTCAGAAAAACAAAGGAGGATAAGTAGCCATCTTCAACCAGTCTTCCAGATGCTAAGCAACGTGCCTGAGGCTTCTCAGATTGCTGGTCACAGACGGCGTAGACTGTGACAGAGCTAGAGAACCTGCTTACCTACAGTGTCAGGATTGCAACAGAGTTGTTCTTGTTATCCAGAATGCCATTAAAATATTTTTATCTGCCTGTGCTGTGTTACGGACTATAGACACACATTCATACATAGACTTTGCTGTCATTGAATGAATTCTGTGAGACCATCTCAAAAACTCAAGGGTACCAACAAGGCAGAATGAAGATGAGAGCTTTAGAGTTGGTCAGCATGGGGGCCCTGGCTGGGTTAGTTAGTGAATTACAAGTAGTATGTGCTGACAGCCACCTACCAAAATCAAAAATGGAACTTGGTGGAAGTCAATAGAGCATCTCACTTTCAAAGAGAAGGCTGGAAAACTATGATGGAGCAAAGTAGAAAGGCAGCAGGAGACAGCCAGGCCTGCTCAGTTCTGGCTCTCTGTTCCCTCAGGCTCTGTCCTCTGCTACCACTGAACAGGTACCAGCCGCCTCCATGGAAATCACTTCCCAGCTGCTCCTGAGGGAGATTCAGAGTGTTGTGTGTGTGCACATATGTATGTCCATGCTTTTGTAATATGCTGTCTTTGGGTCACAGGTCCACACGTAGAAAGGAAGAGCCTGATTCCTTCAGCTGCAGGAAGTACCTCCAACTAAGACTCACACAATGAGGATTTTTCTATCTTGAATTTTTTCTTATGTTTGAAGAGTAAAGACAGGAATTTCAGACTGCTTTGCCTAATATCGGAATGCACCCTGTTTATTACATTAAACCTTTAGCAACAATGTCTAGACACCAGAGATGACCATGGTCCATGTAGGACATAGATGATGATAATGCCATAAGAGTGCCTGCTTTTCCATGCTGAGCCGGCCCTGCCTTTTGATGGCCCTAAGATAGCTGGCCCTGACCCTTGAGAGCTGCCTCCCTTCCCCTGCACTTGGGAGAGATGGCCCCATCCCTCACCATGGGCAGGGGAGAGCTGACCCTGTTGGCATGGGCATGGGGAGCTGGCTCTCCCCTTGCCTGAGGGGGCAGCCCCAGTGGCCTGGACTGACCAGCTCAACTACCACCCAGGCCCACAGCTGACTAACATCTACCCTATCTAGGACCTGCTGGAGCCCGTGAAGGGACTGGTCCTGTGGAATAATAACCACGGGATCTCCATGACTCGGGGTGACTGCAGGAGATCCATGAGGAGTTTTGGTGAGGATCCAATGATGATGGTGTACCAGAAACCAGAGGCCTTGAATCAGACCAGGACTCATTGCAATGAACATTTGCAAGTAAAGCTGATTGGACAAAGGGATACACTGTGGGACACACTGCAGCTCCCGACGCCACCAGGACAAATGAAGAGACGGGGGAAAGATGGAGGAACAGAGAGATTTTGTTGTTGTTGCTGCTACTGTTTTATTTTTGTTTGTTGTGTTTCTCTTTGTTCTGGTTTGGTTTGATTTTTTAATTTTTGTTTGGTGGACCGCTGCAGGGGGAGGGGAGGATATGGAGGAACTGGAAGTGAGTGGTATTGGGGTACAAGATGTGAAATTCCCAAAGATTCAATTAAAAAATGATGTTAAAGAAAAGTGCCTGTCCTGGAAGCCGTCAGTGGAAGAGTCCTCACCGAGCTCCACTATGGACTACATGATGTTCTAAGGCTCATGGCCTGATGAGGAGGATAAGCAGGACTGAGCCATCCCTAGATGGCAGTGGGGAACGGGATGGAGACCAGAGAGAAACAGAAACCAGCAGATACAAATACCACAGCCCAGCAAGAAAGATAACTGTCATGTCCCGAAGAAGATGGGTAAGTTCAGGTCAGCCAAGATGCTGGCATTTCTGCTGGAGACCTCTCAGGCATGCTCCACTTACAGGTCCTCTTAAGGGCATCATCCTCGGGACACAGAAGTCCTGTTAAGTTCCCTCCTTGGGGAAGTGTCAGCTCTGACATTGGGATGATGCAAGGGTGGGCCTGGTGGCTCTAGGAGTCCTGCTCTGGAGTAGTGAGCCAGCATGGTAAGGGAAGTCTTCGTGGAGACAGGAAGCTCAGGTTCCAAGGTTAAGAGTTAAATCTTGCTGAAGGTATGTGAACACTTGTCTTGGGTGTGGTGCTCCCCAGGAGGAGGAGCCCTGGAAAATATATGGCACTCTCAAGTCCTCCAGGTCCAAGTTCTGATGCTTTCCTTCCATGGCCAGCAGTGGGCACAGGTGCATCTGATGGGGCAATAGGCCCCCAGACAGACAAGCATGGACAGCCGTGTGAGCCTTCCTTCTGCAAACCAAGTTAGACACAAACCAAGGAGCCAAGCCTGGTAGGGCAGGCTCATGACCTCTGCCACTTTGAAAGTTCAGCCTATTCTACTGAGTGAGTTGAAGGTCAGCCCGAGCAACACTCAGACTGTCTCAAAATACAAAGTAAAATGAGGGCTGGAGACGGATGTCACTGGGTACTGCACTTGACTAATGTGTGAGGCCCTGGTTTCAGGCCCTGGTACTATATAAATAAAGAACTATATAAGCCTAAGTATTACCTGGAGGTGATAATATATACAGCATTTTTCAAAAATATATATGTTATAAAAATGTTGAACTCTTCTGTGTTTTAGAAACCTAAGCGAATTATTAGAATTACTAAGTCAAACTCAGCAGCACTGGCAGAAGCAACCCACATATGGAAGTCGGTCTCCTAGTCACAGAACAGTCGAGGCTGCAGAAGAAAAGCAAAGGCTTTCTGTAAGAACAGAGTCATCATTTCAGGTTCCCAGGTAGAATACTGAGCTAAGACTAGTCAAGGCACTCTTATAGAAACAAGAGTTAGAGAATGGAATAGACCTGCCCTGTGAGTTATAAAGGAAAAGTAAACTTGGATAATTAACTAAAGATTCATATCATTGCCTATAGCAGAATAAAAGGGGTCTTAAACACTGTAGGTGAGGTTTCAAGTGGTATGTGGGGGAACAAAGCTGAAGAGATGCTTTCCCAGTGAGTGAAGTCAGACCGCCCTGCCCCACCCGCCACTACCCCATCCCCATCCCCCCCCCCCCCCCCCCCCCCCCCCCCCCCGCACAGGCTACTATGCTATGCACATTATCATTCCTCAAATGGAAAAAGCCAAAAGGAAATTACAGACAAATTACAACAGGGGCCTCAAAGCGGGGCTACAGATAAACCATGACAGAATTCCTAGTTTGTGCCCCCCCCATTCTTTTTATCTTATAAAGAAAGCGTACTTTAATTTACTGGGTTTCATGTTTTGTTTAAGAATGCATGCTTTTAGAACTATTATGGAATGAACAAAAAACTTGTGAGGACAGGAATTTCTGAGTGCTCACATGAACAACAAACTGGAAAACAGAGCCAAATTAAATTCCTGATTTTCAATAAAAAGTGACATAGAGTAAAGTAGTATGGAGCATAGTGTGACATCACCCCACGCAGAGCTCCTGTTTCTCCACCACATATGCTGCAAGCTAGAAATGTTCCCCCTTTAAATCTCCAGAGACCAGTCAACACAAACAACTGGTTAAACAAAGAAGAACTTGAGTTCCCAAGTGTCTGGGCTCTGTCTTTATTTTGTTAGATGCCATGCAGAGCATTAAAGTTCTCCCTAGGTCCCCATTTTTTATATCTGAGATGGGACTCTCACTACGCAGGTTTACCTAGAACTATCCATCCTCCCGGACCTTCTCACTTCCACTGCCTGGGTGTGGGGTCACAGATGTGGGCAGCTTACACAGCCTGACCAAAATGTCAATCTTTTATATACCAAAAGGCACCAGAAAGTTAAAAAGCATGCTGTCAACTCAATCACCAAAGAAGTTAACAGACATGAATTAGGGGTACAATGAGGAGGCCCTTTGCTCCAAGTATTAGTGTGGACAATTAGAATCTAGCCATCTGGGGTGGTTGCTTGGTGGGGTAACTCAGACCTTCCTCAGTCTGATCTCTGAATTGAGGTTATGTTCCTTGTTCCTTAAAAGCCACTGCTGGGTATAAAACTTTAGAGACACCCTGTTGAAGTACCTGTTTCCAAGCACCCTCCAGCCTATTCCCACCATGAACAAGCAGTCCTCATCCTTCTGTTTATAGTTGTAACCCCCACCTTTCCTGTTGAGCCACTGCGTTCAAGAAACTCTCTCTCTCTCTCTCTCTCTCTCTCTCTCTCTCTCTCTCTCTCTCTCTCGGTAATTACAGGTTCCATTCAAATGAGGACATTTGCTATGAGCTTTAAAAGAATTGTCACCATTCCCACATCCAGTAATTAGGACCTTTAACCACCAAGAGTGCAAAGCTGCACAAATGTAAACAGAAGGTATACGGAGGGCCACTCACTGGATGCAGTGGAAAGGGTCACTCCTGTACTTGCTGGATCTCAGCCTCATGGGCTGGTGAGGCACGGCAGTATGAGTTGTTAGTATACAGAACATTCTAGCCGAGAAGATGGAATCTACACCTCAATGTTCTGGAGCCACCACCTCAGTGCACCACCCCATCACCACCATTTATTCTAAACATCAGTGGATTCCATTGTCCTGATCTCGGTGTCTTGTGTTCTAAAGGACTGTGTGTAATATCAAGCTGATGGAGAAGGCATTTGGCCGGGCTTTGGGTGGTGGTACGAGAAAACTCATGGACAGGGATAGCAAACTCATCCCCTCAATGTAGAAGAGGAAAGAAGGCAAGCTGAATACAGCAAGCATGCATGCATTAATCCATTGCTCGCTGGACATAATACAACCAGCTTCCTCATTCTTCCTGACTCAGAACATAATACAATCAGTTCCTGCCACCCTGACTGCCCTGCAGTGATGAACTGTATACTGACATTGTGAGCCCCCCCCCCCAAAAAAAAACCATCTTTTCTCCTTTAGGTTGCTTTTGCCGGAGTGTTTTGTCACAGCAACAGGACAAAACCTAATAGTTTATTTGGCTTGATGATTCTGGTGGCGGGAGGTGAACTTGTGAAGAATGGCAGATGTGTTGGGGGGAAGAAATAAGAGTGCGCAAGAGCACTGAATTCAGTTTAGAACCGTCTGCTCTCTTGGGATGTAATCTAGTCTCCTAAGATCTGCTCCACTCCCTTGAGACCATTAACTCATTCAGGAGGGTCAGGCCTCTAACTACACCCTCCCCCGCTTCTTCTAGGCCCCACCAAGTCATCACCACCTCAACAGGCTACACAGGAGGTCAAGATTCTAGCACATGTGCCTTGGGGAGGTGTCCTGGAACCACACCAAAAGCATGGCATAGCCCTCGCAACGTTCAGAGCCCGCGCAAGGCTCATGGTTAGCCACAAGCAGATATAGCAAGTACTACCAGACACTACTACAAAATAATGGAAGAATATCAAAGGCAAATGGAATGGGATTTTAAAAAGTATTGAGTCTGGCTACTGTCTAGATAATGCAAATATATGGTGCAACCACAGTTTGGCTGCAGCATATTTAAATTCACAATAAATAAGGGGACCTCCACCATCGATGTTGTAATTTCTAATATTCATGCTGGAAACAACATACAATTTTCAGGGACAGAAAGCTCTGATGTTGCCTCCCAAATGCCTCCCTGGCATTTCCACCTTTCCCTCCTTCCTCACAGAATAGTTCCCGGCTCTTTGGACGCCCTGTGTCAGCTCATCATGTAGGACCAGCAGCTCTCAGACCAATGCTATGTGGAGTGGTATCCTCAGCTGCTACCCTCATGCTGGCTCCATTACAGATGTACAAAAAACCAAAGTCCAGCTGGACGGTACCCCGACCCTATCAGGGAGTAGCCAGTTGCCCTCTGCTGGTCACACAGGACCTGCAACTTTAGTCTACTCCTACAACTCTAGTTACTCTGCCCTTTCTTACCCGTGGGAAATTGCCCCTTATAGCATCTTCTTTTAAAAACCACACATCTCGGGCGGTGGTGGCACATGCCTTTAATCCCAGCACTTGGGAGGCAGAGCCAGGCGGATCTCTGTGAGTTCGAAGCCAGCCTGGTCTACAGAGTGAGTTCCAGGAAAGGCGCAAAGCTACACAGAGAAACCCTGTCTTGAAAAATCAAAAAAAAAAAAAAAAAAAACAAACAAACAAACAAAAAAACCCCACACATCTCACAGAAGATAGACAGTAATCAAAAGGCCAGCAGCAAAGCTGACCTAGAGAGGAATGTATTGGTATACTGCTAACAGCACCCTCTGAGGAGCTATCCCTGGAGCACTACAGCTGAAAAAAAAAACAAACAAACAAACAAACAAAAAAAAAAACCCACACATCTCACAGAAGATAGACAGTAATCAAAAGGCCAGCAGCAAAGCTGACCTAGAGAGGAATGTATTGGTATACTGCTAACAGCACCCTCTGAGGAGCTATCCCTGGAGCACTACAGCTGTATGTGTGACTGTGAGAATAGATGGCCTCATAAGACAACAGCTGTGTTATACTCTAACATCCATTATTATTATTATTATTATTATTATTAGGGGAGGGGGTTTGAGACAGGGTTTCTCTGTGTAGTTTTGGTGCCTGTCCTGGATCTCGCTGTGTAGACCAGGCTGGCCTCAAAGTCACAGATATCTGCCTGCCTCTGCCTCCTGAGTGCTGGGATTAAAGGCATGCACCACCGCTGCCCAGCACAGCCAGCCATTATTATGATACATATTTGGCAATTTCCATTTTTTTGAAATGACTTGTCCTCCATATGGGGTGCCCATGTGTGAATGCCTTATAGTCAAGGATCCAATTTGGTATACAACTAAATTAACTTTTTTTGCAAATGCAGACGACATCCACAAAATCCTATCCCATACCCATAAAAACACACCAATGCTTCCAGCCACTGGCAGGCAATAGAGACTCAATCACCAATGCATCCCAGTATAAACAAGGACCATACCAATGTTCAGCATATCATGACAAGCCAGTCTTAGCCTACAGCATAGCTTTCCACTGGCCATCCTTCCCTTACCAAGAGAAGCCTAGACATTCAACAGTGATACTAATATCCATCAAATGTAAGACACACCTCACACAAATATGTGGGCAGCAGGAGGCTGAGCCCATAACCAACTGAGTTGCCCCAGATGCCATGATGGTAGATAAACCATAGGCTTGTTTCACTGTACTATCACAGGCTCTGATTACTACCACTTAGAAATGCACAGCCCCATGACTTTACCTTGACGGGAACACAGAGAATACAGGGGGCAAGGGCAGCCCCAGGGTCCTGAGAGAGAATCCAACAGCCTCACTTAGCTCAAGGTTTCATCCATCTAACCCCAGACAGTATTTGCTGTATTCAATTTTGGTTGGAAATTCCAGTGGGATTTTATTGAGCAGAAGAACGCCACTCTAACAATTCACCCTCATAAACTCCATTAGAGTCAACCCACCACAGTATACAGTTTCTACAACAAAACCTTGCTTTCGTGCCCCCCGGGGTCATTCATTTGTAGAGCAGCAGCACAGTGTGTATGAGGTTCACCACACAATGGTGAACA